AATAAAGTTAGTTGTAATTTTTTGATCTTTTGGAACTCCACCCCAATCACTATTCAAATAGTCAATAAGTCAAAAATTATTAGAAAATGAATATAATTGACCTCGAGTTATGATATCTTTGATGTAGCATAAAATTCATTTAGTAGATTTAATATGTGTCAACTTTGATTCTTCCATAAATTAACTTACTAATCTGATTCCATATAGAATATCCGGTCTCATGCATGTTAGGTATCTTAAGCATCCTACTAAGCTTTTGAAATATATTAGATCAATTATATTATCATCATCTTGTCTTAAAAGTTTGATGTCATATTCAATTGGCATGCCAACCAGTTTACAATCCTTCATCTAGAATCTTTTAGAAATCTCTTTTCTATATCCTTCTTGTGAAATGAAGATACATTCTTTACTTTACTTCACTTTAATACCAAGGAAATAAGAAATTAGCCCAATATAAGTCATTTCAAATTCTTGGACTATTGTTTGCTTGAATTCTTCAAACATAAGTGAGTTGCTTCCTATAAAGACAAGATAATCTGCATACAAGCAAACAAGTAAGATATCTTCAGTTTTATTCATCTTCTTATAAACGGCACTTTCATAAAAATGTTTTACATAACCATTTTGCTTAGGCATCAATTCTGGATGTTCAGGCTCTAGGTGCTTACTTTAATCCAAGCAAAGCTTTATTTAACTTAAGAACTTTATTTTGCATACTCCTTTTTAATATAACCCAATAGTTGTTCTGTGTATACTTTTTCTTCAAAAAATCATTCAAAAATATATATTTAATATCCATTTGATAAATCGACCAATTATTTTGTGTGGCAATGAATACCAATATAATAGTTTTCATTTAGATCACAGTGGCAAATGCCTAATTATATTCAATACTATATTTTTATTTGTAACCCTTTGTCACCGATCTAACTTTATACTTCTTAACTTGGTCTTGTACATTTTTCTTTATTTTGTAAACCCACTTTACACCACTAAAAACTTGTCCGTGAGGTAATGTTGATAGCTCTCAAAGTTTTGTTTCTCATGATGGAGTTGATCTCTTCGTCCATAATATCCTTCCACCTTTTATTTTACATGATATTTTTATATTGAAATGGTTCACTGTCTACAAGGAGACAAACAAGATGCAATTTATCTGTTACTTCATATAAAATTCTTAGTCTTCTTTTCCTTTAAAGTATTGAGCTATCTTCTAGAGATGACTGTGTAAAAGAAGATGTTGGCGATAATAGTAGTAAAGAAGGTGAAGCAATTTCAAACTTCATTTGCTTTTATTAATCTTCATGCAATTCTATGATATTTTTCTCTCAATTCCATACACCTTCATTGAACTTCACATCCCTACTTTAACAACCTTTGAATTGTTAGGATCAAATAATTTGTATGCCTAGGATTTAGCATCATACTCAATGAAGCTCTTATCCTCCAACTTAGTTCTTTTTTATCAAGTACATGTGCATAACCAATGCACCTAAATACCTTAACACATGAGATGCTTGATTTTCTTCTAATCTATGCCTCTTGTAGAGTCTTGTTCTTCAGGCTTGATGTAGGGCACTGATTTAGAATGTAGATGGTACAAGTCATTGTTTTAGTCTAAAAGTCATTTGGTATTTTTTGCTCTTGATCATGCTTCTTACCATATTGAAAGTTGTCCAGTTCTTTCTCTTCACACTATTTTATTATAGAGAATATGGTGCTATGAGCTGATGTCGAATGCTATGCTCATCACAAAAATCTTTAAATGCTTTAGAGGTGAATTCACCATCTTGATTGGAGTGGATAGTTTTGATATAGAAGCCACTTTCATACTCCACAAAAGTTTTAAACTTCTTGAACATATTAAAGACTTCCCTTTTTTCTTTCAAGAAATAAACCCAAGTTTTTTCTTGTATAATCATTAATAAAATTTATAATTTATACTGATGCTTACCAAAATATGTTGGAGCAATACGATCACAAACATCACTATGAATAAGTTGAAGTGGCTTATTTGCTCTAAAATTTGCCTCATGTGAAAAATTTCTTGGTTGTTTAGCCAAAGCACACATATTTGACTTGAGTATTATATATAGGGAAGACTATTTATCATCTTCTTTGTTGATAGCATATTGAGATTTCTAAAGTTCAAGTATCCAAGCCTAAGTGTCATAGTTATGAGGAGTCCACACAAGTCTTTAAACATTGTGTCACATCATATTAATGATTAAGATATACAATATATTCCTTGATATCTCCACTTGAGTAATTAAGTGATTTGTGTTGCTTCTAATAAAGATTCATTTTTCTTTCATATAAATATCATAACCATTTTTAAATAGTTATCCAAGAATAAAAATATTGTTCTTCATATATGCACATAACAAACATTTGAAAGAAATTGATGACTTCCCTTCACTAAAGTAGACTTTTGAGGAGTCACTAAAATAGACTTGTCCATTCACTATTTTATCCAACTCCATGAATAGATTTTTGTAACCAAACATATGATTGCTAGTTTCGGTATACAAGTACCACTTGTCTTGCATGATGATATCTTCTTCTCTATGTGCTATCAATAAAATTTTTCTTTTCAATCTAATTAGTATTTTCTTCAACTTAATTATTTTTGTCATAATAGCACTTGGAAGCATAATGATCATATTTTTTTATAATAATAGTATTAAACTTTAGAATGATTTGTGTATCTCCATTTTCTTATTCTTGTTTTGGAATTTAATCTTTTTCATTGTTTTTTCCTCTTCCTCATTGACCATGTTCTCTACCACTACTATGACTTCTTCTACATCCTCGGTCTCTTTCAAAACTATGATCACTTGAGCCTTCATTACTTTAAAAAGTTTTGTTTGGAAATCTTATTTTACTGTATTTGGTTTCTTTTTGTTGACATAAATATTTATATGCTTGCAAAGAACCCACTAGCTCATCAATAGTTATTTGGACTAAATCCTTTGATTCTTAGATAGAGACCATAATAAAGTTAAAATTTTGATATGGTGATCGATGTACTTTTCGATCGTATGTATATTTTCTAGATTCTCACCATTTCTTCTTAGTTAGTTGATAATGATAAAAACTCTTGTAAAATAACATGAAATAGGCTTAAACTCATTCATTTGCAATGTTTCAAATTTAGCTCTAAGTGATTGAAGCCAAATTTTTTTCACCTTCTAAACTCCTTTTAAAAAGTCTCCCAAACATCTTTGGAGATATTGATGGTCGTAACTTTCTCAAAATTGCCTTTATCTAACTCTTGGTAGATGAGGAAGAATCTCTTCTTATCTTTCTTCCTTAGTTCTTCAAAGAATCTCTTTGGCAATGAAATTATCTTGAGGCTCTTCATAGCCTCTCTCCACCACCTCTCACATGTCTTATGATTTAAACAAGACATTTATTTGGAAACTCCAATATTTGTAGTTATTTTTTTTTATAAAGCAAGGCACTTGAAGATGCATGCAATTAGATATTTTGACTTGGTTTTAATACCAGTTTGATGTGGAAAAGAAAGGATAAGATAGAGTGAATTAGATAGAAAGAATCGAGGGATGAAATAAGAGGTAAAACTAAAAATTTTATTTCTTGTAGATAAGTCTCTATATTTTTTTTTCTCTCTTTTATCCATAACAAAACTTATTTATTTATAGGGCCATAGATGAGAGTTACAGAGCTCAATTGTTAGGACTATATTCATATACTTTTATTATATGTAATATATCTAATTTACTAGTGGTTTATTATTTTCATACCCTCCTTCTATATGGTGATCATTGTCATATAATCTCTCTATTCCCATTCAATTCTAAATGTTTTAATTATTTTTTTCCACATGATGAAGAGAGAAGTTTTATTTTTTAATTAAATTTAACTCTCTTAACAAAAATAGCGAATGACCTTTCTATGGGATGAATGCTTGAAGGGAAGACAGGCAATAATGCACTCGTTTCTTTCTCAATGGACAAAGCCAATGGCGCAGCTATGAAGTAATTAAACATTATATGGACAAGTAGCAAAGACAACTTGATGAACGAAGGAAACAGGACAGTCTGCTGCATCTGCAGGATCAACTTGGCGGAATCTTAACAGGACTTTTCCCTGTAAAGCCCTTGGCATGCACACGTTATGGCAGTGAAAGGGAGCTTCTCGTGGAAGCTTGTGGGCAGCTCAAAGTTAAAAGAAATCAAATATGATGGCATATGGGTTATGACTAAAGGTGGACTCAGACTCCATTAAACCCTTCCCTATCATCTTGCCATAAAGGTCTTAACCCTTCTTGCACACTCAACTAACGAAGTGCTTTCCCACTCATGGTGATCAACTAAAGACATATGTGATGCTAAGTCTCAATCACAGCCACCCAAAGCAAGGTTCATGTCTGGAGAAACATCAAGCACTGATCACTAGTCTTGGATTCTTCAGAAAGATAAACAAAGCGACAAGTCGCAGTATGTTGGATTCCACCTCATTCTTCCTTAGTCCATAAGTTTGAGTTCACTCTTGTGGAGGCTGGCGCAGTGATTCAGCAGTGGATCTCTCACTGACCCCTTAAACCAGTTTGAACAAAAAGCACGTTGTGTGCACACGGTGTGAGGCAATTCTTGCACTGCCTTAGTATCAATTTCCAACATCAATTAGCAGATATCAATGGAAGTTTCTGATTCATTCAAGAACTTGCAAGAATCGACATGTGACTTCGAAGCTTTTGATCGGATTACAAACTATTCCAAGGAGATCAAATAGATGCTTTTCGAGACCATGATCAGTCGCAGTCACATTATTCTAAAGAACCATATTTTGATCGGAATAATCTATATATGCTTTTCTCCACTTGGTTGTTTCCTTCCTGCTTCTTGCTTTTAGGAGCAATTGTCAAACATGGTGTTCTTCATGTTTCCAGGACAATTAACGTCACCTTAGAGGAAGTAGGAAGATTCGAAACAACTCATTAGAGAAAATTATATAGTGCAAGAACAAACACATAAAACACATCTTCACCTGTGGCATATTCATTAATTTGTGCTCCTTGTAGTGCACTTGTAATTGTTGTGGTATTTGCCCATCCAAATGTGCCACATGAAAACCATCAAACAGGAGTCAGTGTGGTGGCTTTAGTAAAGCAAAGAAGCATCCCATTGCCTCACAAGCCTTTTGGAAAGTTAGCTCCTCCTACACATACCTAAATCAAACCATGTGGATCATCTTCCAAAAGTGCATCCTCCGCCTCCCTATTTAACCCTCCTATTGCATACATATGTGTTCTGTCGGATGAGAATTCTTTCAGCAATTCCTTCCTACCTCCTCACAACATTCTCCACGCAGATCTGAAACCACCCTCAAGTATCTATGTTCTATAGCCACAGCTTCGCTTGATTCATATGGATCCCATCAGAATAGAGAAGTTTCAAGCCATGAAGCGATGCAGAAGAAGGAAACAGTGCTTCATCCCAAGGCTCATCCAATACTTGCTAACAGTCTCATCCCTTGGCTTGCTCCTCTCGTGCCCCTTATGGCTTCATCCTGTGTGCTCGTGTCTCAGCCTCTTCTTCTCCGTGTCTCTTCCCAGCATGGCGGCAGTCATGTTGAGTCCCAAATGCCTTTTCGTAGTGTGTAACGTCATTGTCGTCTTCCTCATCGGGGAGTCCAAGTTGTCGAGGTCCTACCAGTCAGCAGATATCTACGAGGAGTACATGAAGAGTAAGGTGAAACTCGAACGGCAGGCCGAGGACGAAAGCAAGAAGGGACATGTGACGGACAGGGCTTTGGATGAAGAAGATGACAGCGGAGGAGGAGAAGGAGAAGGAATGGTGGCTGGGTACGAAGACCTGGATGGAGAAGAAGAGAAGGACTCAAGTGAGATAGACAAGAAAGCGACGGACTTCATAGCAAGGGTCAATTGGCAGAGGCGGCTTGAAGCAAGAAGTCTACTTCACTAAACATGGAAGAGTAGAAGTTACTACTGTGAACTCTTTCTTCTTAAGCTAAAGATTTCCAAAAGGTTAATAGAGTTTAAACTATATATATATATATATATATATATATATATATATATATT